TTGCGTATGCTGTTGGGCTGCTTTGGATGAAAGGCGGGAGCGTGCGTGGGTCCTTGCTGCTCCCTCCCAGCCGGAAGCTCAGAGTCCTAACTGGTGAATGTCGAGAGCGGTTTCCAAGCCACATTCCCTTCGTCTAGCTGGCCTTTGACACGGCTCCGGAGCTGCCAGAAGAGGCTGTCACAGGTCGTCAAGTGAAACGCTGGGGGCGGGGATGGGATGTTTACCAGCTGGCTTCCCGCGTACAGAAAGACCCAGGCATTCCAGCCCCAGATGTGAGGGGACCAGACAGAGCCCCATGCATGTCCCCCAACTCCCCTCTGAGCCCAGTCTCTGAACGGCAGCTCTGTTGCTCCCTGACTCACGGCCCAGGAGCTAGAGAAGTGGCCAGCAGTGACCCAGTCCAGAGGAGACTGCCTTTTTTTGAGAAGGAGATTGAATTCCTAATGCTGCGTTGAGGTTTGAACGTGTCCCCTGACATCCACCTATTGGAAGCATAGTCACCAACGCCACATTTTTAGGAGCTGGTGCCTAATGAGAGGGGACAAAGTCACAGGGGCTCTGCCCTCATGAAAGGATTGGTGTTCTGATCCTAAGCCAGAAAGAGTGAGTTTCTTTGCCCAGCACAATGGCTCAGGGGCTAAATCCTCACCTTGCAAATGCCAGCATCCCATGTGGGTGCCGGTTTGTATCCCAGCTGCTCCACTTCCCATCCAGCTCCTTGCTTGTGGCCAGGGAAAGCAGTGGAGGACAGCCCAAAGCCTTGGGACCCTGCACCCGTGTGAGAGACCAGGAAGAAGCTACTGGCTTCAGATCAGCTATTGCAGCCACTTGCGGGGTAAACCAGCAGATGGAAGATCTTTCCATCTGTCTCTCCTTGTCTCTGTAATTCTGCTTTTCCAATAAAAATAAATAAGTCTTTAAAAAACAAAAGTGAGTTTGCCAAGCTGGCTAGATTCCTTGTGTGCTCTCATACTTCGCCCTCTCTGTCCCTGCAGCCTTTGCAAGGTGCTGAAACAGTGAACCACAGGGGAAAAAAAGAACATCAGAATCTCCTTACACTGCTGGTGGGGATGTGAGATGGTGCTGGCAGGTCCTCAGACCACTCATGATGCAGTTACCACGTGACCTGGCCATTCCATGCGTGCCCGAGAGAGGTGAGCCTCGTGCCTGACAGCCAGCCAGGGGAGCTCATCAAGACCCATCAGGCAACGAGCAAACACAAGTTGTCCAGTTTGGGGATTTTGCCCCCGAACAACCTGCTGCCCCCTTTTTGATCTTGAACCTAACTGGTGTGGACCACAAGCCCTTGGGAGTGCTGTCCCAGAGATGTGAGACAGGAGGAATCGGGGAGGAGACCCAGCCCCCACGTCAGCTCATGCCTGGCTCAGGCCTTCGCTCAGACTCCGGGTCTCTCTGGATCCCTCGTGCTGATCCCAGCCTTCCTCAGACCTGGCAACGCTGACAGTTCAGGACACAGGTGTGTGCAGGGTTCTAAGGGTGCACTTGGCCACGTTTTATTCTGCAAACATTACTAACTTTACTCCTCTAATGCTTGGGTTGCTTCCACGTTGTGCTCTTATGAGTAGACTTGCTATGAATATTCATGGCCAAATTCTTGTTTGAACACCTGTTTTCAATTCTGTGGGGGTATGTACCTAGGAGTAGAGTTCCTGGGTCATTGCATTTAACCTTCTGGAAGAATCACCAAACTGGTTTCTCAAGTGACTGCATTGTTCCATTCCCACCGGCTGAGGAAGAGTGTTCCGATTTCTCCACATCTGCATCAATGCGTGCAGGTTCCCATTGTTGAAACTGCTGCCATCCTAGGTCGCGTGAAGTCTCACTGCGTGTGTGGGCCGAACAGCTTTAGCGAGACAGCTCAAATAGATGATCCACCTGCCCTAAGGTGTCATCCAACGGTTTGCAGAATATTCACCGACATAGGCAATCATCCATACATTATAATTTACAGCATTTTATCTTCCCCAAAACAAGCCCCATATTTTACTCAGCGCTTCCCTGCTCTTTCAGTCTTGCGGGCCCAGTCCCAGCTCACCACGGCCAGGTGTCTATCTCTATACGTGCGAGCGTTCTTGGTTTTTCACATGAATGGAATCACGGACGTGACCTTCTTCACTTAACATGTTTTCCAGCATCACTGTTACACAGAGGTCACTCTTATCTGGGGCCAAACCGTATTCCACACTGGACAGATCCCGTGCGTGTGTGCTCGTTGCCTGACGGGCCTCGCTGAGCTCCCCTGGCTGGCTGTCAGGCACGAGGCTCACCTCTCTCGGGTACACGTGGAATGGCCAGGTCACGTGGTAACTGCATCATGAATGGTCTGAGGACCTGCCAAGGTATTTGACACAGCACCATCTTGACGGTTGCCCTGGTAACCGGAGGAGGGCGGAGCTTGCTTAGAGCCCGACCTCGGAAGGGTTGCAAGACATGAAGAAGAAGAGGGCCACAGAGGAAGAAGAGCCAGAAAGAGAGGTGCAGGGGCTTTTACACTTCCCCTACGCAGCTGAAGCCGGGGTCACTCTGCCTGTCATTGGTAGAGTGGCGATGCCACTGCCTCAGGGGCTGCCAGAATACCCCCAGGGCTAGTCTGGGGGGGGATGGGCACTCCCAGCACCAGGTCTCCTCCCATTGGCTGTGCCCATCCCACCAGCTTGCCCTGTGAGCTCAGCTTCCCTGTACAAAGGGATCAGAGCGCCTTGGGTACCACAGGATTCCCGGCCCTGGGAGGGGGCTCTAATCTCTCCAGCTTTGATAGCTCACAGTGCTGGGGAGAGGGGAACCGCACTTCAGGGACTTGGGGTGCTGCTTTCCTGACCTGGGGAGACATTTTCCAGAACAGAATATGTCATGTACAACCTGTATGGGGAAAAGGAAGAGAAGCTGGCACGTGGAAGCCACCCCGCACCGATCCAAAGGGCGATGGGAAGGTGAGGAGGAGGAAGGGGAGGAACAGAGGAGTGAGGAGTCGTCAGGGTCAGGGTCACTGCCCGCGGCGGGGGACACTTCTGGGTGCTCTGCGCACACTGAGGGCTGCCCCGGAGGCAAATGGTGTGTGCACGCTCGGTGGGAGGCACCCCAACATATCCTGCCTTGCTCAGCGAGACTGAATCTGTCCCCAGAGTGGCTGTCCGGTGTGGCCCACTGCTAGGCAAGCTCCTTGGGCAGGCCCTGCCCTGCCCCCGCCAGGAGACAGAAGGCTTGCCCGTCAGCACCCTTTTGTCCCCTCTGGCAATTCCCTGGGTACACATTCCTCACCTTCCTCCCCCAGGGCGGAGCCCCTGACTGCCGCCACACCCCCATCTCATCTCACCCAGAGGCCACACCTGGCAGGCCGCCTGCCCAGCTGGACGTTGCCACAGCGCAATCAAAAGCGGGCTTTAGTGTGGGCTCCAGCTCAGCGCACGACCCAGCATCCACAGCAGGGGCCGGCAGCCTGCGGGAGGCCTCCCTCCTGGCGGGCAGCCAGCGGCCCGCTACCTCTCCCTCTTCAGCCCTGCTCCCTCGCCTCCCCCAGCAGCTTCCCGCCTCCATCACCTCCTCCCCAGTGGTCACCAGCCCTCTTCCGGAGGCTGCAACTCCCACCCGAAGGCCCTTTAACCCCTTTTACTGGCTCCCCGTTGCCCACGTCCCTGAAAGTTGAGGTTCAACCGGATTTACTAGGAAAGAATGGATTTTTTTTTTCTGGTCAGGCCACTGGAGAGGGAAAAGAAGGGCTCCGTTGCCCTGGGGGTCACCCAGAGCCCGCGGGGCTGGCTCTGCAAACCCGCCTCCTTCGCCGCCTTTCTTTCTGGATTCCCGAAACAGCCCAGCGAAAGTTCGGGAAACTCTGCTACCTTTAGGACCTGGGAGATCCAAGTAGGGGGGGTCACCCTCCCCGCCCCCCAGCGAGGTCGGCACCGGAACTGCTCTAACGGGAACCAGCGGCCGAGAGCCCCAGGAGGGCTGGGGGGATTGCGGGGCAGGTCCCCGAGGGACCTCCGTCCGGGGGCGCGCGCCCAGCCAGGGGGTGCGGGTCAGCGGGGGGTGCGGAGCGCTGCCGCCCCCACCGCACCCCCGCCCCGTGAAGCTCCGCAGTCACCGCCGTGCGGCTCGCGCCCCAACCCGGCGACAAGCGCTGCGGAATCCGAGCTGTGCGCGCGACGGTCCACGGAGGGCGGGCTGGGGGCTGACGTGGTCGCGCCCTGGATCTGTGGGGCCACCCCCTCAAGGGCCCAGACCCTTCCACCCGCCTTGTCCTCCCTCCTCCCAGCCCCAGACTCTGGGAACGGCGAAGGGATATGGGGGAGTCCGAGGGCAGAGCCCAGAGGCGCAGTCTGGCCGCCCCGGGGGGTCGCACGTGGGACCAGCGCAGGGGGTGGGGGAGACCGGCCAAGTTCAAGTCCCAGGGGACGCCGCGGGGAGGCTGCAGGAGCGCGGGGTGGGGCCTGGGGCGCAGCCCGCGAAGTGGGAGGGGATAGTGAGGGGTGGTCTCTGAGGAGGAGCCAGGCTGGACCGCATTGTTCCGCACTCCGCCACCTCGAGTGCGCGGCGCTGGCCGGGCAGGGAGCTCTGGGCTCCGGGCGCTCTGCTTCCCGGGTGCCTCGCCCGGCTCCCGGGGGCTGACCCCGCAGCCGCCCCCCGCCCGAGGCGCTGCTGTCCTGCTCGCTTGGGGCCCAGGGGATGCGGGTTTTCTGAGGCAGTGCGGGGAAAAGGGTCGTTCTCTCCCGCGCTCCTGAGATTGCCCCCATCACCAGGCGAGGGGTCCCGAGTGGGCCGCTTCCGCCAGGTGAGCTGGTCGGGAGGCGAGTGGAAAGTGGGGAGCCAGGGTCACTGACCGCCCCCCGCCTTGCCGTGTCGCACGCGCCAGAAAGAGCCGGGTGCCTGGGTTCCCCAGTGATGGCCGCGGGCCGCCTCCGCGCGGAGCAGGGGCGCGGACTCTGGAGCGCCCCTCCCTAACAGGGCACAGCTTCTCCTCGCCCCCGAGCCTGGCCGGCGGGATGGGGGGCGGCGGCTCAGCCCTGAGGGTCTGTGCTGACCATCGCGGGGGCATCAACTGGCTGAGCCTGAGCCCTGACGGGCAGCGTCTGCTGACGGGCAGCGAGGACGGCACTGCCCGGCTTTGGAGCACCACGGACGGCCAGTGTTGCGCGCTCCTGCAAGGTAGACCCGCCTCGCCGCGCGTCCCCGTCCCTCCCCTGCCTTCTGCCCGCTCACGTGCACCTTAGTACCTTCGCCCGCCGTCCCCTTTCCTAAAAAGGACGGTACCTGACCATCCCCGCACGCTGGTGGAAAAGCGTTCGCTCGGGCCACAGTCGGGCCATCCAGGAGCTTTGGGCGAGGGGTAAGAGCTGCGGAAGAACAGGGTGCGATGCTGGGCTGCTGTGGAGGCTACGATCGGCTATCCGCCCGCTGCACCAACGGAAGTTCCACCTTCACTCTGAGAGCCTCGCCTCGGCTCTGGATACCCAGGTGACCAGCCACTGTACTGGACAGTGCTGTCCTCGCTGTGGGTTAGTCCACGTTCTGAGGCTTAGAGCCACCCGACCAGTGAAACCTGTTAAATGAAATTTAGACTCCGCTTTTCTGAAGTAAGTGCTCCGGCCAGCTGTGTTTACCCCCGATTTTGGAGCTGTGGAGGAAAGGGGCATGGGCTGGCATTGAGCAGCTGCTGGTCCCCAGGGAGCAGCAGCCACCTACCTATCCCTCCTCTCCTAAGGGCCACAGGGCACTGCCTGCCAGAGTGGCGGGCACAGGGCCCCTGAGGAGACACTAAGCTCCCCACACCCAGTACCCTTTGGGGTCAGACTGCCCTTTCCCACCATGATCTGCCAAAGCAGGGGTGGACCTCTTCTCCCTCTGTAGGATGCTAGGGCTTCAACACTGGCCAGTCGTAACACTGCTGGCTTTACATAAAGCAGCGAAGCTATCGCAAAGGACAGCAGGGGTGAGTCTGGGAGTGTCATTTCCTTAGCAGTTGGTGTGGGGAGTTGATCAGCAACACACATTCCCCTGGTCCCTACGAAGTCATGGATATGGGCGGCCCCTCAACTAAGAGTAGATTTGAAATAGGCTAGAAAACTTTTCATTCCATTTGTACTGCTTTCCCAAGCATAAGCCTTTATTTCAAAGGGCTTTGGAAATATAGGTTCCTGGGCCTCAGCCCAGGTGTTTTTTTCCACGAGTGGGACCCTAAAATTTTCATAATTCTCATTTATGAAGAATGCTGTTTATTTATTTGAACGACAGGATGATAGAGAAGGACAGGTGTTCCTTGCTCGGGGAGTGCTTTGCCAAGTGGCTGCAAACAGGGTCTTGGTGCTCTCCATACCAGGGAGGCGGGGAGAAGGGAGCTGCACCCTGCAGGGAAGGGGGGGCCTGTCTCTGCATCCTGTCACCCCTGGAGTCAGCAGGGGAGAGGGCTGTGGCATTGTCAGCCTGGGGTGCCTGACCTAGCCTGCTGGGGCTTCCCCTCACCCTGCCTTTAGTGCAGGACAGGAGGGGAGCTGGGTGGAGAGAGCAGGGGTGAGGGAGCAGGGAGAGACCTCTGCTGTGGAGAGCAGCTCAAGGTTATCTCTACAGATGTGGCACCTGCTGTGCTACGAGGCTCATGCCAATTAACTGTGCCATCCCTGCCACATGTGACTCTCAGGCTGGCCTGCCACTGTCACTCATTTGAGAGACAGAGCTCTTTCATTTACTGGTTCACTCCCCAAATGACAACAACCATGACTGAGCCATGCTGGAGCCAGAAGCCTCAACGTCCAGCTGTGTCTCCCATGTAGGCGGCCGGGGAGCAAGTGCTTGGGCTGCTTTCCCAGGGAGCTGGGTTGGACGTGGAGCAGCCAAGACTCGCGTGGAATGCCAGTGTCACAGGTGCCAGCTTAGCCTGCGCCCAGCACGCTTGCCCGAGTCCCACCTTGAAGCTGAGTCCAAGGCCTGTGCAGCTGGGCTGTGCCCTGGGGCACCGGGCCCACCGCAGTCTCTCTCTGCCCGGCAGTGGGCTCTCACTGCTGCTCCTGAGCAGGGAGGGGCAGCTTGACTTTGAACTTGCAGCAAGTCCAGGGATACGCAGGCAGGGAGGCGACAAGGGCTGCTACCTTGGCAGGAGTGCCTGGAGCCTCAGTCTGTTCTTTTAAACATAACTGCATCTTATCTGCATTCTTCATCCTTATGAAAATATTTGTTTTGAGTTTGGTGTTTTTGCTTATTCTGCACAATTCCAACAGTAGAAGGCCCAAGCGCTCGCTGTAGTCTCCGGAGGTGTGTGTGGTTTGGTGGGGGATGGGAGCTCCCTCGGTCACTCCTGGCGGCAGGCGGAGCGGGCATGGACCCTTGGGTGGCAGCCTCTGAGGGCCTCGGGTGGGTGGGAGTCCCATGGAGCATGGAAGGCTGCCTCTGACCTCTGACCTCTGACCTATTGGGGTAGTTTTTCATATAAGTGGGGGAGGAGAGGGAGGGCTTGAAAACTGATGGTGCTGCAGCAACTTCCGCTGGCCGAGTACTAAGTACTGGACACTTGGGCTCAGCTAGGCTCAAGTTCAGACACTTTTTTTTATGTATATATTACAAAACTTCTTTCATTTTTGGCCTCTCCCGTGCATTGACACTGCCGCTTCTGTCGGCTTACGGTCTGTGTGTCTCTCTCCATACATAAAGTGACCTCATGGACTCAGGGCTGGGGCTGCCCTGGTTGGGCGGCTCTAGTGCCAGCCGCCGCTGTACCTTCACAACACCCCCACATTTGCCTTCCGGCCATCGGGATGGGAGGGGTGCAGCTGGGTGTGCATCCTCAGGAGGCCCAGCAGGTGCACTGACGCCTCTGCTGCTCTCCCAGCCTGCAGGGAGGGCCAAGGTGGGCCCTCCTGGGTCCCTGCTGAGCCCACTCTGTGGCAGCAGCCAAGCTGGGACAGCTCAGGATCCGCTTTCAGGGAAAGTTTGTTGACAACTGAGAACTGCTTTCTCAACTCTTGGGGGCTGGCAGAAGTCTGGGCTGTGCTTTGCCAAACACATCTGCCCTCAGCTTTCTTCAGGGAAATCTAATCTACAGTTTCTTCTCGTGTTTGCTTGAACCTGACATTGTTTGCTTAAGGGCCTGATACGTGCTCTCCAAGAAGATTGAAAAACTGTGATTAGACAAAAAAATTAAAATTCTGCTTCCTAGAACCCAGGAAGTTGACTCCTTCCAAGAGGCTCCACCTAGGACCACTCACCCCTAAATGAACCAGCACAAACCACACAGAAGATTCTAGATGTCTGTCTGCCTGATATCCAACACCAAGATAAAAGTTTTTCCAATGTATTTTTTTCAAGATATATTTATTTATTTATTGGAAAAGCAGAATGACAGAGAGAAGAGAGACTGAGAGAGCTTCCACTCTGTCTCAATCCCAAATGGCTACAGCGGCTGGCCTGGGCTGGGTCAGTCTAAAGCCAGGAGCCAGGAGCCCAAACATTTGGGACTTCTTCCTCTGCTTTCCCAGGGAGCTGGAAGGGAAGTGGAGCAGTCAGAACACAAATCAACACGCACATGGATGCTGTCATCGCAGGCAGTGGCTTTAGCCACTATGACTTAACACCAGCCCAAGATCAAATTTTTAAGTCAATGAAAATCCTTAATGTAGTAAATGCACCTCAAACAGGTGTGTGTTTGAATCTATCAGTTTCCTCATCTGTGTGATGACTCTTGGTTCTCACATTGCTTTCATACTCTGGGCCTCCAGGTCCTCTCCCATATACTTCCTCAGTTTCAAAAGTTGTGTGCCCAGGCCCAGGGGAAACATCTCTACCTGAAGGACAGACCCTGTCTGATCTCAGGGCATGTCTTCTGAAAGGAAGAACAGAGTCCAGCAAGTGGGTGATGGAGGAACAGGTGGCTGAGCCCCGGCCCTCCGCCCCACCCCTCCGCCCTCTGCCAGCTCTCTCAGCTGTCTCTGTCAGGCACCTCTGAGTTGTCCTAAGAGGCCTCCCGTGTCCCCAGGGTCCCCAGACCCTGGGTGCTGTGTGCTGTCCTGAACTGCAGTCTCCTGCTGGGCACCTGCTGCAAGCATCCTGGGCACCCCGCCACCATGGGCAGGCTTCTCCCTGGGGAGCTGCGCGCAACAGCTGACCAGTGCAGGCGCTATAGCCTGCCCCTCAGCCTGCTGGAGAAGCATGTGGGCTGAGAGACCCAGTGAGCATGCTTCGGGTTTTGCAGCTGCTCAGGTGGACTCTTGCATGATACTTGAGGCCACAAGTGTGCTATTGGTGTCCCTGGGCTGCCATCGCAGTGCCAACAGGGGGCCAGGATGGTGGATGGGAGGATGGAGACCATGGTGGCCGGTGGATTCCAGCTTTGTGTGGCTGCCAGCTGTCCCCAACTTGTGGCTGCCTCCACCTCCACTTGGCCGTCCATTTGGCGGGTGCCCAGTGCCGTGATGCTTTCTAAGGACATTTGTGATTATACTGAGTCCTTTCCAGAGACCTGGAGTAACCTTCCCCGAATCAAGCTCCGTGGTCACATCTGCCAATTCCCTTTTGCCAGGAAGTAACACTTGTAGGACCTGGGGCCTTGGTTCTGCCTGCCACAGTCTCTCTCCAAATGTCACAGCCTCTTGTGGCCTACAGGGCAGCTTTCACAGTACTGTCTGCGAGGCAGGCCCTTGAGATGGGCGTGGCTGCATCCCCGGCAGGGTGAGCTTACTTGCCCTTGGGCAAGGATCTTGTCCAGCCAGTCTGGCTGTGGAGGCTGTAGCCTTGGCCCCTGGACTTCTGCCTGCATGGGCTAACTGTGTTGAATACAAACAGCTGAAAATTTTGAAGACTAAGAAGGCTCAGTGGAGAAGGGGGAAAAGAGGAGAGGAGGAAAGGGTAGAGAAGGTTTGGGGGCAGAGGAGTGCCCTGCACGTATCCTGGGACTCCAGCCCCGTGCGAACCTCCGGAAAGTTGCCCTCGTTTTAAAGAAAGTAGTGGGTCCCCAGCGTGTGTCCAGCACTCCTGTTGCCTGCTGTCTTCCTGCCCACTCATGCTCTTGTGCCCCCTCACTGCAGGGCATGAGAGTTACGTCACCTTCTGCCAACTGGAAGACGAAGCTGCTTTCACATGCAGTGCCGACTGCACCATCCGGAGGTGGGATGCGCTCACGGGCCAGTGTCTGCAGGTGTACCGAGGCCACACGTCCATCGTGAACAGGTCTGCCCGCCCTGGGGTCTGGGCCCCTGGGATGTTGAGGCGGGGCGGAATGGAGGGTCCCAGTCTTTGAATTCTCTGGGCAAGTCACTGTGTGGATAGCACGCAGGGATGGAAGACCTAGAACCGAAGTGGCTCCAGGCCCAGAAGTGCCATCCGCGCGGGGATGTGAGGAGGGTTGGGAAGAGGAGGAGTGGGGAAAGAGGAGTCGGGGAAGAAGAGGCACCCCTATACTTTGACTTGGACGTGGACATCCCCCTCCTTGTGGGGGGCCTGGCCGCTCTAGTGCCCTGTGCTGGGTGCAGCCAAGGCCATTGGAGCCCACAGCGCCTCCTGCTGGGGCAGGTGTTGGAGAAAGTTGCTGAATTCACTCTTGAGGTCAGACCAAAAGTTGCAGGAGGGGAAACAGATGTGTTCTAAGGCAGGGGCAAGGGCATTCTGATGGGCGTGCCAACACTCTGAAGTCGGAGGCTGCTCCGCACTGTGGGCCAGCGGTTGTTTACTGGGCGAGTCAGGACTGCCCACACAGCAGGTTCCTCCTTGCTCTCCCACCACCACCCTGCTGTGTGCCTGGGGTCCTGCCAGGGCTTGCGGCTAAAGCTGCAGAGGAACTGATTGGTGGTGACCTGGCAGCCGACTACCATCCTACCTGAGTAGGTCTGCCCGGGTGCCAGCCCTTCCCTCCCACATGGAGGCACTGAGGCTGCATTATGGGAGGCAGGAGGGATTTCCAGGAATTCCCTTGGCCCCTTAGCTCCTCAGCCTCTCAGCCCCTTAACAGCCCCGCAGCCCCTCAGCAGCCCCGCAGCCCTGCAGCCCCGCAGTCCCTCAGCTCCAGACTGGGCTGCTTTGACCCCAGAATCCATGCACTCCCAGAGACTGCAGGTGCAGGCCAGGTCAGCATGGGGAGGAGTCACAGAAGGGGAGTCAGGGCGGCTTCTTGGAGGTGGAGTGTTCCCAGCTGGACCTCGGGAAGTGGAGAATGCTAGGCAGGAAGAGGCTGCTGCAGAGGCGCAACTGAGGCTGGTCCGTTGGGAGCCAGGGTGGAGCCTGGGGTCCCTGATCCCACCCCTCTCCACCCCCAGGATCCTGGTTATCAACAACCTGCTCTTCAGCAGCTCCTACGACCGCACAGCTCGCGTCTGGACTGTGGACAAGGGCCAGGTGTCGCAGGAGTTCCGGGGCCACCGCAACTGTGTGCTGACACTTGCCTACTCCGCCCCCTGGGATCCCCCCAGTGCTCCCTGTGCCGAGGAGGAGGTGGCGGCACTGGCGGCCGGTGGGCTGCTGGTCACAGGCAGCACGGACGGCACGGCCAAGGTGTGGCAGGTGGCCAGCGGCTGCTGCCACCAGACGCTGCGGGGCCACACGGGTGCGGTGCTGTGCCTGGTGCTGGACGCACCTGGCCACACGGCCTTCACGGGCAGCACGGACAGCACAGTCCGCGCCTGGGACATCCTGAGCGGGGAACAGCTGCGTGTGTTCCGGGAGCACCAGGGCTCCGTCATCTGCTTAGAGGTGAGAGCTGCCTGGCCCTGCCCCCAGCCTGCTTCTCTGTTAGGTGGCTGGGTCAGGTGGCAAGATGGCAAAGTAACCAGGCTTGACTTCACTTGGGCTCACTCCCCAAATGGCCACAAACTGGCCTGGGCTGAGTCAGTGTGAAGCCAGGAGCTTCTTCTGTGTCTCCCACCTGGGTGCAGGGGTCCAAGCAGTTGGGCCATGCTCCTCTGCTTTCCCTGGAGCATTGGCAGGCAGCTGGATCAGAAGCGGAACAGCCGGGTTTTGAACTGGTGCCCATAAGGGATGCAGATGTTGCAGATGGTAGCTTAATGTGCTGTGTCACGATACTGGTCATGACATGCGCGGGTTTGGGAAAGGGACAGGACTTCAGACATGAGTTTGAGGTAGCAGGAGTCAGCTCCCGGCTCCCAGCTTTGGAATCTGTGGGAGGAGGCTGGGCAGGCTAACTACTTCCCTGGGTTTATCATTGCACTGTCTGGCTGATGCCTCCCTGAGCTCAGCGCTCAGTCCCTGGAGTCTTAAAAGAACAGACTGGGGCTCATGGGGGACCTGGAGCAGCCGTGTGTCCCCAGGATTACTGGGCAGCTTATGTTTGCCTCATTTCGATCTCAGCTCCTCTTGAGGACGCTGCCATGGCTAGGGCTGGGCCAGCTGCAGCCAGAAGGCAGTGGCTTCTGCGTCTCCCATGTGGTGGCGAGAGGTCCGAGCTCTTGGACCATCTTTGAAAACATGTTGGTGCATCAGCACAAAGCTGGTTCAGAAATGGAGCTTGGGCCCGGTGCGGTGGCGCAGTGGTTAAGGTCCTCACCTTGCACGCCCGGGATCCCATATGGGTGCCGGTTCTATCCCGGCAGCCCCGCTTCCCTTCCACCTCCCTGCCTGTGGCCTGGGAAAGCAGCAGAGGACAGTCCAAAGCTTGGGGACCCTGCGCCCGCGTGGAAGACCCAGAAGAGGCTCCTGGCTTCGGATCGGCATAGCATCGGCCATTGCGCTCACTTGGGGAGTGAATCATCGGACAGAAGATCTTCCTCTCTGTCTCTCCTCTCTGTATATCCGCTTTTCCAATAAAAAAAAAATAATAAAAATAAACCTAAAAAAAAAAAAAGAAATGGAGCTGTGGGGACTCGAACCAGTGACCAAATGGGATGCCGGTGCTGCATGCAGGGGCCTCAGCTGCTATAGCATAATGTCAGCCCCGTCCTGGTCTTGAAATTAGGTGTTAATGTTATCCCTAAAGGAGTGGGATATTTCAGATCTGTCTAGAGAGAAAAGCAAGGCACCAGTGACCAAGGAGGTAGCCTGAGGGCAGGGGGCTGTGTGTCCCAGCCCAGCGTGCTTTGCTTGCCTGAGTGTTGGCATACCAACCAAGCCCCCAAGGCGCCGGTGGGCAGAGCGTGCACAGAGCGTGCCATGCCTTGTAGCAATCATTGCGAGTACTAGCTATGGAATTTGTCCATTTTAATTTTATGTGGTTAATTTAAAATAATGAGGTATTTCTTAGGGCTGTGCTGCAGTGGCTCAACTAGCTAATCCTCCACCTCCCACTGTGACACCCCATATGGGCACTGGCTCAAGTCCTGGCCACTCCACTTCCTTTCCAACTCCCTGCTTATGGCCTGGGAAAGCAGTCAAGGATGGCCCAAAGCCTTGGGACCTTGCACCCACATGGGAGACCAAGAAGAAACTCCTGGCTCCTGGCTTCGAATCAGCTCAGCTCCGGCCGTTGTGGCCATTTGAGGAATAAACCAGCAGATGGAAGATCTGTCCCTCCTTTTCTCTGTAAATCTGCCTTTCCAATAAAACTAAATCTTTAAAAAAATTATTATATATTTCTTTGAAAGTGCGAGAAAGAAACATTTCCATCTGCTGGCTCACTCCCCTAAGGCCCCCAGCAGCCAGAACTGTGGCAGGCTGAATCTGGGAGCCAGGAACTCTTGCAGGTGCTCTGTGTGGGTGGCAGGAACCCAAGGACTTGGGCTACCACCTGCTGCTTTGCCAGGTGCGTTAGCAGGACACGGGTATTGGAAGCTAAGCTGGGACACAAATTCAAGAGCTCCAAACGAGGTGGGGAATCTTGGGCAACACCCCAGCTGCCCGGCCCTGCTGGCCTTCGGCTCAGTGCCCTGTCTGCGTCATGCTGGTGTCTGGAGGGCCACCTTCTGAGAAAGATTTTTATCTTCTGTTGTAAATGAGAAAACAGGCTCAGAGAAGAGAAGAGGAACAGGTTGCCCGTGGGCTCGCTGTTGACAGGGGGAAGAGGCAGGACTGAAGCTCACGATGGTGTGTGTATCTCCAAAGTGTGCTAGGAGCTGAATAACATAGGGTCACGTGACAGCTCCTGGTATCTGTTCATCTTTCTAGTTGGAAGAGGAGAGCACGCTTCCATCTGCTTCCACTCTACTGATTCATTCATTCCCCATACGGCCTGCACTAGCCAGGGCTGGGCCGGGCCTAAATCTGGAGTCTGGAGCTCCACCTGGGTCTCTGCTGTGAGTGGTGTGTTGCAGCCGTCGCCTGCTGCCCTCCCAGCGTTACCTGGAAGCTGGATCAGAAGCAGAGGAGCTGGGCCTTCTCCACACTGTGTTATGGGATATGGGCATCCCTGCCTGCCGCATGCTGCCTGCCCCTGCCAGCTGGTTTCCCACAGCCTTGCTGCTTCCCTTGGCACTGCTGCACCTGTCCGCCTTGGCAAGAGCGCCTCCACAGCCTGGGGCCCTTCTTTCCCTCCAGCAGCTCAGGATGAACCTGGCTTCTGGCCCTCCTCCCTGCCCTTCAGGTGCCAGCCCCAGGCAGGGTGACCTTGTGCCCAACCCTGATTGTCCAGTTCCCTGTTCCAATGGCTGTGCATACTCCCCTAGCCATCAGATCCTTCTAGATCATTGTCTGACCCATCAGCCCTAGTGTGTCAAGTCCTGAGTGAGAGCCCTTCTTCCAGACGCTGGGGTAGCCAGGGCTACAGGAGCAGATGGTGGGTGCAGACCGGTGTATCTGTAACCCCTGCCCCACGGCCTTCGAGGAGGTAGCTGTCGTCCCTCTCGTGGGTGGAGCGGGCAACCTGGATGGGTTGTGGAGGTGGCCTCTCTGCCCTCAGGGTGCTGTAGCTGGTGATGACTGCTGGCGCAGCCACTCACTCACTGTTGCACCACGGAGACCTGCACAAGCCCGGGGGACCTGGGGCCGGGAGGGGCTTTGAACCACTGACTGAAGCCTGTCCCCTATCCCTACCCCTTTCCTCAGCTCGTGGATGGCCTCGTGTACTCGGGCAGTGCCGACAGGACGGTCAAGTGCTGGCAGGCGGATAGCGGGGAGCATGTGCGCACCTTCTCAGCCCACAGACACAGCGTTAGCGCCCTCAAGTACCATGCGGGCACCCGTAAGTGGTCTGTCCTCTGTTGGCTCCATCCTGTATCCCGAGGCACACCCGGCAGCTCCTCTCAGTTGCTTTGCTTCCTGTTGGGTTTTCCCACATTGGACCTGGGCAGTCTCCCTGGACTGTGGGGGCCCAAGGGCCAGCCCCACTTCTTACACCTGCTCCCCCAGGCCGTTCCTCACCTTTACCCTACAGCAGTATGGGGCTCCTCGCTGTGGTGTCCTAGTGAGGTGGTGGTACCTACACAACCAAGCCAGACTCAAGGCCCACCTGGCATTGGAAGACCCAGATGCTGGTGATCTGGGCTGAATGGGTGGCTCTCCAAAGTTGTCTGGCACCCAGATTCCTTCCGAAGCTTCTGCTTCAGCATCCTTAGCACCTGTCTCTTGAGAAAGCCGCATGGTTCAGGGTTAGATGCTGGAGCGCCAGCCATTGTGTCCCGTGTCAGGAAGGAAGAAAAGGCACGAAAGGCTGCACCTTCTAGCTGAGGATGCTTCCTTGGATCACTTTCCTGGAAGCATCACCCCAAAAGGCCTGCATGGAGCTCCCTGACCACTCTGCCTACAAGTAGACTGAATCAGAAAGGGTTTTGTTTTGTTTTGTTTTTTAAACCTGAGGACACTGCTGCCAAGGCAAATCTGGGTTCCTGTGGGAACCAAAAAGGGCAGAATAGCTTCTTGGGGAGAGGGCCTTGCTCACCCAGTATCTGCTTACCTCCTGCTTGCACACTGGCCACCCCCAGATGGCAGCACCGAGCAGTGAATAGGGCAACGCACACTCTCACCACGCCCCCCACAAGGGAGTCCCCAGGCCTCCCTGCTTCCCATCCTGGTCTCCCTGCCTCTTCAGCAGCCTCCTCAGCAGTGGCAGAGACCAGTGGGGTGTGGCGAGTCCCCCTACTCCTAAGCGGGAGGGGATACGGATGGGGACAGCACAGGTGCCAGGTACAGGGCCTCTTTAGCTGTCTGCAGATAGACGTGCCCTGGGGGCGAAGCTATCTGATTTGGGCTCTGGTTCCTTGTCCCTGTTGGATACTGGCACTGCTCCCAAGTCTGGCAAAAAACAGTGCTGTGGGTATGGCTGCAGCTGGTAATGGCCTGCAGCGCCCCCCACTGGCAGCAGTTGGCATAGCACCTGTTGCTGAAACTCCGTGGGTCCTGCCCTGCTACACTAGAAATGGAGGTTCCAGGATGACCCTCTAGCCATCGGTTTGTGGAGGTGGGAGGGCAGCAAACCTGAAGCTTATGAAGAGATTCTCCACGCCCCGTCACACAGTGCAGACCGACAGGGAGCCAGTGATGCCGAATGAGCTGGGAGTCCCTTGGAGAGGCAACACAGGCTGGGGTCCAGCTCTCTCAAGCAGCCTTGCCCAGAATGCCCCCCATAGGTTCTAAGCAAGTAGACACCCACAGGCTCCCACTCCAGCCATACCTAAGGGGAGTTGTTGGGCAAGTGCACAGGGTCCCTGCAGCCAACGAGGGTCTTCACTTTCTCCGTAGCAGCCTCCTGCTCAGGAAAAGACCCTTGCAAGGTTCTCCTTCTTCCCTTCTTTCCTCCTGTGCTTCCAGGGATGCCTGCCACACCAACTTGTTTGCAGCCAATCCTGGCATCTGTGCTGGCTGCAGGGAGAGCCCAGCCTATGGGGAGAGCATCCTCTCTAGTTGCAGGGTGACCACCTGCAGTGGCCCTGGGACGGGTGGGAAATGCAGGCTCGCAGGCCCACCCATCTGCAGTGGGTGAGGCCCAGCAGGTGTCCTGAAAGCCCTCTGGGTCCTCGAGGATGAAGAAGCTTTCAGCTGAGTTGTGATGCAGGAACCCCCCCTCCCCCATACACACACAAGAAGGACTGGAAGGACTGGTGGTGCAGGCTTCCCTTGCAGCTAGGGAACCACAGGGGTTCTGAGCTTCCCTGGAGGCCTAGGATGCCTCTCTGGCTGGAAAGGGGGGCTGCTCCCGCAGTGGGGGAAGGGGAAGAGCTCCCCAGTACACCCGGTGATTGCTAGCCATCCCCATCCACCTCTAGCGGTGCTTCCAAGGCAGACAACCCAGTTCCATCGCCAAGGCTTCAGCAAGCAGCACAGAGGGGGACTCTGGGCCTGGGAGGCCTCAGGGTGGGCAGATAGAGGAGGGTCCCTCCTACACCTGCAACCACAGGGATGGAGTGAGACAAGGAAGAGGACTCCTGCTTCCTTGGGGAGGGGGTGGTCTGCCTAGTTACAAATAAGCCTCAGCCATGTTCCTGCGAGGCAGGCAGGCTCCACCTGCTCTCCTAGCACCTGCGCCGTTAGAGGGTGCCCTGTGTGTCCGCAGTGTTCACTGGCAGCGGGGACGCCTGCGCCCGAGCCTTCGACGCCCAGACCGGGGTGTTACAGAAGGTGTTCCGGGGCCACGCATTCGTCATCAACTGCCTCCAGGTAAGCCCTCTCCCCTGGGAGTGCTTAGAGGAATAAGGGCGAGCCTTGGAATCTGGGTCCGAGTGAGTGAAGACCGCCCCTTCCCCCAGGCTGGGCCCTCCCTGATCCTCTTTCGTGGGCAGATGGGGTTCGCCCCTTGGAGGGCGAGCTGAGCTGGCCAACTGCCCGCCCACAGGTGCACGGCCAGGTGCTTTACACCGCCTCGCACGACGGCGCGCTGCGGCTATGGGACGTGCGCGGCCTCGGCAGCCCGCGCGCCCCGCCGCCCCGCCGCGCCTCCAAGCGCAGCCTCTCGCGCCTTTTCAGCAACAAGGTGGGCTGCGCCGCGGCGCCCCTGCAGCCGGCCTGAGCCTGCCCGCCCCGCGGGGAAGAGACCTGGGTGCATTTTCCCACGCCCTCTGCCGACGGAGAGGGGGAGTGCGCTTGCCCTCTGCCTCTAGGGGCGGCTCCTCTTCCTCTCCAAGCTGAGAACTAGCTGACGGACTTGCCGGACCCTCTGGCCTCCCAGCCCCCAGCTACCGAGGCCACATCCCAGGACTCTTAGGAGAGCGACTGAGCCAGCCTGTTTCTGCAAACCTGTGCGTCCAAAGGACATGCCTGAAGGACTGAAATAAACATCGCTCGAAGTGCCCTTGCTTGTGCCCCGTTTGTTGTTTGTTCCCAGTTTTCTGTTAAGTTTAGGGGCTCCACAGTCTGTCCAGTGGTAGGGGGGCCACCCCTGCTTTGGCGCACCCGTGGTCTTCTGGCCTCCACCAGTAAAGTCTAGAGTAGAAGGACACACAGTGGCCGGCAAGGAGCCAGCAGCTGGGCATACCCAGGAGGAACCCCCCAGAGGGCAGGCAGGGGCTTGGGCCTCGGGCTGCGCCCTCACACCACCAGGCTGTTAGTCGTGCTTTGTCTGCCGCAGTCCCCAGTGCCAGGCTCGCCAGGGGTGCAGGGAGGGCAGCTGCAGGCGGTGTCTGCCGCGGTGTCGTCCTGAGAACAGTTCTGGATGCAGACGGGGGGCTGTTACCGTCCCAGTGCATGGGGGGCTTGAGTGCAAGGTCTGCCCGACAGCCCTTACATACTGGGGATTACGCTGCCAAGGCAACTTGCAAAACCCAGGGAACCCATATGGCCCCCCATGGTGTGTGTGGGGGGGGATCCGGCTTGTCTGCGAGAAACCTGCAAAAATGGGTCTACATAACATTTTCTGGGTGGGACCAAGCCCTGCTGCGTCTGGGTGCCACAGACATGGCCGTCTCAGCTCCTGGTCTACGTGCCTGCCAGTGGTGCAGTCAAGGGCGCAGCCACCAGAAAGGGGGCTTCCCTATAGGCCGCAGTAGCACTGTAGGACAAGGTGGGGGTCGGCCAGAGGACTTGCCAGTGAGCACGCCTCAGAGAAAAGTCCTGGAAAAATCCATCGACTCCCCTCCTCAGAGCATGAGGCACACAGGTGGCGCTGTGTTCTTGTCTTAGCAGCTCTGGTGTAGGTAGAATCCCACAGAGCACAGCACCCGTGCCACCACCCACTCCTGGGCACGCCAGCTGGGTGGGGTTCCTAAGGCGTGCCACTTTTGAGAGGGACCTTCCTAGAGCAAACCAGAAGCCACTGCTCTGTACTCATACAGCACAACACGCTAGGTATAATTTTGTATTTCCCATGACACAGAAACTTTGCTCAATTAGAGTATTAGGGCGACACTTCGAAAAGCTCGTGAGAAATGAAGTTTAGGGGCAGGCATTGTAGCCACCCGGGATGTGTGCATCCCACGTAGGAGTGTGGTTCAGGTCCTGGCCATTCCGCCTCAGTCCAGCTTTCTGCTGGCGCCCCTGGGAGGGAACCGAGTGACAGGGACCTGGGACCCAGTCATCCACGGGAGGGAGACTGACACTGTCTCCAACAGGGTCACCACCTCAGTCTACCGTCACGTCCCGCGTGCCCTGCGGGTCCCACAGCCCCCTCCCTGCTGAGGCCCTTTCACCACCAGCCCGAGCCCTGCTTTTCCCATGAGATCTCTTTATTTACATATTTGTTTTTAAGATGTATCTTTATTTGAAAGGCAGATTCACAGAGTGAGGAGGACAAACACAGGCCTTCCATCTGCTGGTTCACTCCCCCGCTGGCTGCCAACAGCCAGAGCCGAGCCGGGCCACAGCCAGGAGCTCCTTCCAGGTCTCCCACATGGGCTAGGGACCCGAGGACTTGAGCCATCACCTGCTGCCTCCCCAGGTGACCTAGCAGGAAACCGGATCAGAAGACAGGACAGCCGGGACTTGAGCCAGGCACCTGGATATGGAATGCTGCCAACTTAACCACTGTGCCATGTGCTTGCGATGGCGGTCTGGGGCCCAGCCTACCCTGGCAGAGGCAGCTCAGGAATACATCCATATGGCACTTGGTGGCATTGGCGGAGCCCAGGCTGAATCCTGGGTGCTAGACAGGATTTAATACGCTTCTACAGAGGAACGCATGGCGCGCTGACATTGGTTATTTGAGTCAATCCAAAACTCGTCACGTAGTTTTACAAGTAACTAAAATCTCCAAAAACCCTGGAAAAAAGTACTTCAATCTCTGAGAGATATTTTAGCTGACAGAGAATTTGATACAACACCACAGAATCCAAAAATGTCACAAGTAAATATGGCAGCAGTTAAAACTTTGCCATTTTATACCATTAAATGTTTGTGATGAATGTTTACATATAAAATCTGAATTTCAACCTTGAATTTCAAGCGACTACCTTATGCGACTAAGGGCTAAAGCTATTTGTCACCATCTGGTCTGGTCACTACAGCGTGAGGGTTTCTTGGCACCCCTACGGCACCTGGAATGAAGAGTTAAGGACGACTGAGGGGGCAAGGGGGGGCGCGGGATGCAGGAAGCTGGTGGGACTGCTGCAAGGCAGAGGGCAGATGACGGGCAGCAGCCATAGCCACACAGCCAAGCTGGGCCAGGGGAGCAGAGGAGCTGGCTCCTGAGGCCTCACCCCTGCTGGAGACCTGCCTCGGGCCAGCCCGCTCCCCTCCCTGGCAGCACCTTGACAGGACAGACAGCGGGTGTTAGAGGAGCAGTGCCTGGAGGTAGAGAGGGAGCAGGCCAGAGGCGGCTCCTCCACGACCCTCCGCTGACCGAGGCCTGTCCCAGCCCCAGCTGGTCTTCTCTGAACCTCCTGGACCTGCAGATGGAACAAACTCAGACCAAGCATGAGAACAGACCTGCATAAGGCTTTTCGTAATGATAGAATTTATAAGCAGAAACATAGTACTATGATTTTTGTTCATTAACTAGTTTTTCTTTGTTGCTGACTTTATATTTTCTATGTAGGATAAGTATTCTGCAATGATAATTTCTTCATCTTCCAAAGTCGAGTCGAGATAGTCTTCCTCGTGTTCTGGAATGTCCTCCAGGATCTCGTTGATGGCCTCCGTCTCCATATCTTCATCAGTGGAGGCACTGGAGGTTCCTAGGGCGACATACACAGGAGCGCATGAGTCACGGCAGGAAGCCGTCCCAGCAGCCTGCACAGGGAGGGCAGGGAGGCCCCTTCGCAGTCCTTAGGTCAGCTCTGACCCCGGAGCACTCGGCCCTCAGACCCACCTGCAGAATCCGAAGGGGACGTGGATGGTGTGGATGAAGAACTGTCCTCCACGGAGAGCTGCAGATCGCGTGGCAAGAGTCCTCCATTGAGAGCAAGGGTCTGAGCTGCAAGCTGGACGTTGCCCCTGAACACCTTCAGTGCGGTGCTGGCCACTGCTGCATCAAAACCCATGTACACCAGCTAGGGAGAGCACAGGACGTGAGACAGGTGACCGTGAGACCTGGCGCAGGCTGCTGACCCAGCCCCGCCCTGTGAGCACAGCCAGGACAGCCTTCTCTCACAGGAAGTCACAGCGAGCTTATGGGTGTCCTTTCTGACAAGTCACTCTTCAGCTCCACCCAGAGCAGGGGGCAGCCTAGAAAGGGCCTCTCTAGACCTGTCTGACAAGCCCCGGACAGACCTTTCAGGATGGGCAATGTGTCACCCATGGCCGGTGTAACACCTCCAGATACGGGGTGCCATGTGCACACAGGTTGTGCAGTGCCATCCTGACTCAACCGGTGGCACACGGGGAAAAGGAGAGGCAAACCTGGAGGATTCTTGCCGCCGTCTTTGCCTTTTCCTGCCCTGCTTCCCCAGCCCGACTGCTGCACACCTGGACAGCCTCACCCAGGTGGGCAGGCAGGTGCCGCCGGGGCCCAGAGCCAGGGCTCCAGCAGCCTCACCCAGTGTCCTACCACCCTTCGCCCCCACTGGGGGTGCACAGGTCAGGGAGGCCCGACAGCGCTGTCACTCACCTGCTCAATGTTTTCCTGGGAAGGATTTTCTTGACTGTTGTTTTCAGAATCGGAATCCCTCAGCCACCACATGTGAGGGTTACTGAGGAGAATCTGCAAACACAGAACATGCTGCACACACTCAGACATGGCGCACCTGCCAGGAGCCAGGTGGGGCCCAGTTCCTGTCTGCTCACAGGGCAACAGCCAAGTGCAGGATGCAGAGGGTGTCAGGGAGCAGGGGCGCTAGCCCAGGCTGGGGCAGCCCATGTCCCTGGAAGGCTTCCAATCAGAGGTGTCGCATCAGAGTTGACATGACAGGGATCAGAGGGAGCAGGCCAAAGCCCTCTGGAGCAGGCAGGCAGAGCAGGAATCTCAAGGAAGCACACGGTCTCCCCAGAGCTCAGGCTTTGGGGCATGGGAGAGGTTCCGAAGCTGCTCGGCCGCCTTTGGTCTCTGCAACATGCCTCGCCCCCAACTTCAAACGCCAAGCAGATGGGCCATTCTTGTGGCTCGGCCTCCTGGCGCCATGATGCTCTGCTCCACCTCTAACCCTCCTGGTGAGGCTCCCTTCAGCTAGGGGCAAGGGCTGAATGTGCCAGCGTACTACCTCCACGAAGCCTTGCCATTGACTTCAAACAACACACAAAAAACTAGAAGCTGAAACGTGTTTTTTTTTAAGTTAAAAAAAAGGTGTGCATATACATATACACACACAAATATGGACATAAAAATATTGACCCCAGGGGCTTTCTGAGAGACTGGATGGGCACAAAAAGGCAGGAGGGGAGATCCTGCTGCCTCCTTCGCAGGGCTAACAAGGGCCCCTTGCACGCGTGGTCTCCACTGACCGTCCAGCCCTGTTTCTGGCCACAGTACCCCCTAACCCCTCAAGCCCCAACCCTGGTTAATGTACAACCTGAACTAGTCACCACACTGCCCAAGCCTCAGCCTTCCTGTGACCTGCACCTGCCCATCCAAGCTGCTGCCTCGCTGCCTGGAGGGCTCCCCACAGTCCCCCATCACCACCCACCCTCATACACTAAGCGGCAACCCTGCACCCCCCACCAACCTGTGGGCTCCCAGGGCAGGCGTCTTCCACTTTGA